TCTGTAAACATCGTTACTACCAGAAATCTTACTCCGATTTTCGAGTGTAGAATTTTTTCTGTATACGAATTTTATCTAGTTTGTGTATTGACGAGGTAATTTTTTTCGATTTTTTTTTTTTTGTAACTCGGTTAAAACCAAAGAGACTTCAAGTTTTCACAGGAAACTAATAATAGCCGTGGTCGGTCAAAAGTTCAATTTATTTATTTCGTATGGCATACAATAGATCTTAAGCGCTACACAATCAACAACCAATACAATATAATGCAAGTTAGTAAATAAAACCAGCGGCTGTATAAATACACTACTATATATAATTTGTTATGTCAGGTAAACTTTTGGTTTATGATTCGACGTCAAGTTTACTTGTCCGTTCAATCCATTCAACGGCCAGATTTGTGGCTTTAAGAGAAGTCCTCCATCCACGGGGGTGAATGTTGGCAGCCTGCGCGTAGTTTTTTCCTCGGAAATACGTAAGACGACTAATAAGCCGACACTCGTGACTGCCGTCCACGGTCATGATATGAGCGTCTCCGGCAAATTATGAGCTATTTATAAACATTTGAAATTTTCGAATTTCAATTCTTTCGTAAGTCCTACGCCTATATTTTATACTCTCGTGTAAAAATTATTTTTGAATTCGTATTGCACGCGTCGAGTAGTTATTTGGCTTTTTTTTTATTCAGTTTTATTATTATACCCACGATTTTAAGAGTTTTAAAGGTCGGAACGCCAACTTCAATTATTTATACGAGCTTTATCGATCATCGGCGTCATCCCACGATTTTTACAGTGTAATATGCAATCTATATGTAGATAAATATTGATTTCGATAAAAATGGTTGGCATCCCGTTCGCAAGTAGATTTACAACAATACAAATCGAGATACACGCGTATAATTAATTATTCTATAATAATTGTGGTGTTTGACGAAAACTATATACAATGTAATGTACGCATTGTATATTGTTTATATTTAATAAAAAACAAGTCATGTATCTGTCTACCTATACGTACCTACCCAATATTAATATAGAAAACACACCGTGTCTAAAATATTTTATTTATATTCATTACGTATTATATTCTACACCTAAACTACGTTGGCGGTTATAAATTAATTAAAAATTTTTTTTCGATTTTTAAGATAAAATTAGTATTTTCAATGAGACACTCGGTCGTGTTATAGGTAGGTATAGTTTAAGGAGTCTTGTCGCTAATATTCGTTTTTTCCGTTCATCTCGCGCGTTTTACATTGTAGTAACAAAAGCATTGTGCGTTAGCATGAGTTATTGACGATTGAAATTGTTAAATGAAATTAAAACACGCATATCTCGATAACAAATTTAAAAAATATTATTCATAAGATGCATAGTAAATATTCTTATTTATAAAATGTAAACCTATTGGTTTTTTCGCTCTAAATTCGACCAGCGAATCGCAATCGAGGACATGTGGAATGTCTTTTTTTTGCCGTATAACGCGCGTGAGATAATAAATGTTTGAACACAATAATTCGTGTAACGTGTGAAAATTATGTTTTATTTTACGTAAAATCGTAGTAAAAATAATATTACACAATCAAAAAAAAAATAGTTACACATTGAAATCTACGGGTGGCAAAATGAAAGACGATTTTTCGCCGAAATATTTATGTAATCAAACACATATTTTGTACTCGTATGATCAATAAATGAACTTTTTTTTATCAGACTGATGAATCGCTGGTAGAATACGTCTTATTCGTTATTTCTGTGTAATACGGTTGACTACACTTTTTTCAATGTTCAATAGTGATACGTTTGTGAAACGACGTTTCGCCCATTTTAGAACTCTTTGTCCTTATAGCTAATTTCTAGTCAAACAATATTGTAAAAACTAATAAACATTCAGAAGCGTTATTCTTACACTCGTTTTAAGGTTAGATATCAGATAGGTACTATCGCACACCGTGTTTAAAAACTACGGCTCTACGAATCGTGAGTTAACGTATTGGGCGCAACGAAGACCTCGAATAATAACCACGGTTCGCGAACCGTTAATATTCTTGATAAAAAAAACGTTGGATTAAATACAACAAAGACATGGTTGTTTTTTTGTTGTTTTAATCGCCATTATATGCCATTACGCCTCACAGGGATAAATATTATATCTCTCTATATATGGCTAGACGTTTTCCGTTCTATACTCCCAGAGGCTTGTGACTGTTTCAAATGGGTCACTACACCGTCGTCTTGGCTGTCCTCTCGGGTCTTGGTATTTTTGTGGTATGTGGAAACCAGACGGTTTCCATACTGCGCTCTCACGAAACATGAGCCTACCCTACGCTCGTCAAACGTGCCCGTCCCAGACCTCCAGCACTGTATATTCTTCGGCTTTTGTAAACTCTCGGGTTGCATTTTTGTGAATGATTTGACCACTTCGGACATATTCGACAGATTTGGTCAATATCTCAGAGAGTATAAAATTATATTACCCGGTTCGTCGCAGACATTTTTCTTTAACGTCCATTTTCACATTCGATGTTATTGCATCCGCTCTGTAATTTTCTCATTGGTCCCGATTATTATACGTGCGTATACACCTACGGACACTTTTTCGAAAATTGAAAATAATTGAGGGCAATCAACTGGAACGTATATTACAGGTAACTACACGTATCGGTATGTAGATAGGTATTATTAAAATGCGGCCGTTGTCCGCGTCCATTGTGACACTTTCGATAAATTTATTGCGGTATGTAGAAAGTAATAAATAAAATTTTTTTACGTTTCGATGTTATCGCGTTGGCGTTTCGGTGTAGCCGATGGCATAACGACGACGGCGGGTTAGAGTATATAATTATTATCAATGTAATAATTTTATTATTGTTGTTATCAGAGTAGGTTTGCCATACTCGAAGTCATAAGTGGGAATTTTATCAAAAGTACTTGGAGTAACTGACTTACGAAGAAAAAAAAAAAATTATCTTCTGATTATAAGTCAATATTTTGGAAAATTAGCCTATTAGCCAATTCCAGTCAATTCTTCTTCATTTTTTTTTTTTTTTTTTTCATACCTATTTGGCCGTATACTTAATATTTTAATATTAAGTCCATTTGGCCGACTCGACCGATCCGTTAACCTTTTTAATACCGTTATAACATACGCAGGTAACTACGTGTTTTTATTCATATATTCCTCGATATTTTTTGCACCGTTTTTCTCTGTTTGTCCGCTCCGTTATTGAAAACTAGATATCGCAATTATAGATAGATATTTTAACCCTCCCCAATTCCTGTATATAATTGAATTACAAAGAAAAGCTCAACTGATTGCAAATATAGTACAGGTTTTTTTTGGATCTGGCTTTTAAATTTCCATTTGTCGATAATTTTTTTTTACAATCCACGAATACGGTACTTTACCGACGTTGCTGTAGGGGTTGCCACAGATCGTCGTGTGCACATTATGGCCACGGTTAATGTTATAAAATCGTTTTGTGCCGTTACAGTGTATTGCAGGCTTATTGCCGAACTCAAAGACTCACCGTCTGCGTTTAACCGGATATTTAAATTGCGATATTTCACACGGTTCGTGACCCGCTTGAAAATCAAAATATCTAGAGACAAAAAAAATAATATCACCCTCGGACGCACACGAACACAGACAACATGCGTACGTCACTTTTGAGTTTGATAACGTGGGCCCGATACACTCGGTGTAACGGACTGCGCGAACTCGGCGACATTAACCGATTTTACAACATTGACCGCCGCGCGTATGAAAGCCCGCCGCGTCGACGTAAAATAAATAGGAGAATGACGTTGGACGCGACCAGTTGTCCGCGGTCCGTTTCGAGTTTCGTTGCGTCGACCGCGCGCGCGCGCGCGCGTGTGTGTGTGTGACGCGTGTGTCCGGTTAATTAGATTTATTCCGGCGGTAATTTATTTATTTACGTTACGTCGCCCGACCGTTTTACAGATGGAGAGATTACCGGCGGCGACAGCGGCCGTCTATTTGCGGCCCGTAAGCACAAAATAGAACCGAGCGCGCGCGCGCGCGCCTATTTACAATACCGCGTACAACAGACGGACCGGCGGTACACTACTATTATTATTATTATTATTAACATATTATTTCGTGTGTACAACTATTATTTAATGGGACGGTACGGTCTCGTCGGAGAATATTGTCCGTCAACCGTCGACGTCCGCCGCGTGCATTGCCAAATCGCGGATACCCTCGGCGCGACTGTTACGGACGCGTCTTATCGCGCCCGTCGCGTTTTTTATCTGCGATACAATCGGTCAGAACCGTCGCTCGGCCCCGTCCATCCGAAATAGATCTCGCGACCCCGCCAAGCGCGGCGGCGCCGTCGGTCGTTTCGGTATAAAAAGCGAACAAAAAAAAAAAAAAAAAAAAAAAAAGCAGTCCTAGGATAACGGAGACGGGTGCAGCCACTGTTGCAGGTGGTATGTTGGGGAGGTACGATACAGAAGGGAATTTAATGTGTACCTGTAAGCAATGGCGAACCATCGCTAACGAAATAACGATTCTGAGCGTAGTTCGGTCGATAGTGATGTTTTGTAATACTTTCGGTTTTCGTCAAAATTCGATCATGAAAAAAAGATAAATACATTTTCAAGTATTTGTGTTCTTTAATCAATCGAAACATTTCGTAGTACTTATTGCGTAAAAACTTTCGTAAAGAAAATGTAAAACGCGGCGTTTAAAATGCCTATAAAATAAACATCGCCAGTACGTTTCGGAAATTTCGCCGCGTTTACGGACAAGTCTCTTAGTTGGCGTGTTTAATAATGAAAACGTGTCGCAAACGACGTGTACCGAATGTGTTTTTTTTTTCTTTCGTTTTTTTTTCTTTTTTCTTTTATTTGTTTTAACGTGCATACGAGACAGAGTACCAATAATGTACCGCGAGAAACGCGCCTCGGTGTGCGTTATTAAACCGTTTTGCTGTTTTAATCGTTTCGTTAAAAACCCCCGCGGAAATCTCTCCCTATCGGCCCGTCCGCTTAAAAGAGCTCCGAAAGGCCGTCGCGTCCACCGCTGGTCCTCCTCCTCCCGAGCCTCCCCCGTTCTTCGCTGTTTTTTCCCCGCGCTCATTGCGGATTATCGACTCTGGATCCGGAGATCTTGCGGTACAGTCTGTATTTCCGTCGGCGTTGACGCCCGACGATCTTTCGGTACCTTCTGGTTTCCGTTTCGTTGCGCCGTCGATCATCAATGCTGTTGTTCTATTTTCGGCGTTCTCTCTCATTTCACAGGCCGTGAACGGTTCGGTCATTTTCCCGGTCACGTAATACACGTGCCGAAAGAATTTTCGTTCGTTTCTCATTAGAATTTTCTCATTAGAGGTCGGCCTCGTTTCACGAGCGTATAAAATCACCGGGATAGCTAACATTTCGTACGATCTTTTTTTTTTTTTTATTTAATATAGTAGGACCTTAACCCTTGTAATAAGAGTTTAAGATTATTTGCAATTGCGAAACAGCACCCGTTTCTGGCCTTAATTCGTAATCGTATTTTCTCGTGATAATTATTCTGGCCGTTAAGTTCTTCTCCCGGATATTTTAAACGACCAACTTTTTCAAACATACAGTTCTGTAAATTAATCTCGTTGTACGCCGACCCAACTGAATAATTCTTGTGAACAGAAAATACTCGGTCTTTCTATCGTTTATCATATTAAGCTCTATTTTTCGCTATGACTTGATGATGTAGCGATACTCGGGTCAAACGTATTTCTCTATAATCGAACATGTTAATTTATTATATGCGTCCCTACAACTCCAGTCTGAATTCAGAACTTTTACAACTCATAAACGGTAAACCCATTATTAGAGTTCTACATGTCAATATTTTTTTTAAAATATCCTTTTTATCGAATCTGCATTCCCGAACACATTTCCAAAACAAAGTCTGAAAGAAAATGGTCTTCTAAAACACTATTGCACATGACCACTTATGATCGGGGCACGGAACCGAAATTAAAAATACCGGTGTTTTTACCGGAACCATTTGAACATTTTGGAATCGGAACTTTACCGAAACATTTTGTTGCTCTGCTTAGGAACATAAACAAGAACCAATATTGTTTGGAGTAGAATTTTCCGGTTTTATCGATTTTTACGGCTCCAATTTTATTCAACCATTTTATATATATTTAAGTTGTACATGTATACGTGTATCTATAATTTTGTTATTCTATAATCTAACAGTTCTAGAAAATTATAAAAAAATAAGTAATTATACCAGAATAAAAATATATCAATAATACATTTTGTTATAAGCCCGCTGGTTTATAAAAATCGTCGTCGTGATTATTTCTTTAGATTCTATAATTTGAAAATAGTTTTAGATGGCGACGTCTGGTGATGTTGATGAATGAACGTGCAGTAAAAGTGATTATTAAAACGATCAAAATAGTACGGATAAATAATATTAATAATGATCTGGTGGAAACCGTTTATAATGGATATTCAATTGAACAGTTAATATTAGTCGTAACAATCGATTTTCACTGTAACCAAAATAATAAAATTTAAAAACTTGATTACCTACGTGTATAATGTATAGGTGTATAGGTATGTTTATTTATTTATATAAACATAATAATGTAATATGATCAATGTGTCATACTGCCATCGCTAAATCGTGATTCCGAAACATACGGAAAAAAAAAAGCGCCGGTTCATTATTTCAATGTTAAATTCGCATTAAAAAAAATATTAATTTCGATCGAAATTTAATACACTCTTTATAGATAACTTATTTAGCACTATAGTATAAAGTACTATATAATTGAAAGTCGGAGCGAAATTGTTTATGGAAAAGTTATTCACAGTTAAAAAAAAAAAAAAAAACCGAGAAAAAAAAATGTATAAATCATTGTAAAACCAATACATTCCTCGGTCCGCTCAGAATCAAAAAAAAAAACAACGGAATTTTATTTAAATTGCTCTGTAAAAAACGTTGGACCATGAGAAAAAAATCACTTTAAATACATTATGCTTTAAAATTGACGACAGTCATGTTTTCACTTGGGGAATTTCAAATAAAACCATTTTAATAATTATCAGTGTATATATTAAAAAAAAAAAAAAAAAATGCAATAAAGCCCAATGAAGACTTGTTGACTCTGAACATTTTTTTTTTTTTTTTTTTTTTTTTTTTTCTAATATATATAATCAACTCCGTTCGTTAGTGTCCCGTTTATAAATAAATAATACTTTATATTTTTTAATTATTACGTATTTCACATTACGTTTATAAAGTTCATTACACCGTCGTTAATTCGATACCTATTAATTAGAAACTTTTATTAATATAATCGCAAGGTCGAACATAATTACTAGACATTATATTTAAACGGCGATGCACTGCAGTGTAATATACTACGAGTAATCGACGATGTCGTAGTAATTTATAATATCGTGTAACATTATTATCGGCAATCTTTGCCGGTAATTTCGCGCAGATTATATGTATAAACCCCCCCCCGACACTATTCGCACCGTTTGGTAAATCACCGTTGCAGGTTGCGAGTCGCGGGTGAGATACAACCGAACAAATACTCTGAACTGATGTGGATTACCCAGAAACGTTTTAATCGTTTGCGATCGGGATACCTGACCCTGCAGAAATCAATAAAAAAAAAATATTGAAACCAATTTATCGTCGTTATATTCATGTAGATTTTTTTTTTTTTTTTAAAGCGTTTGAGAATCTAGCAAATGTATTTGGATAAAGTAAAACCGGACGAAAACCACTAAAGTCTTTTATTTCGTATGTACGGCGAAAATATTTTTCGACGTTTTAAATTGTCTAATAGAAAGAGTGCAGTTTTCCGAGGGAGAAAAAATCCCGCACGTCCACGTAAAATTATAATAGCCGTTTCGCAGCACACTCTTTGCCAAAAACAGCCGGTGTAATGTAATTTCCGAAAAGTACTATTTTATAGTACTCGGCGAAGCATACAGTATGTAATGTATGCGAGGTTATGTGCGTATTTTACTATGATGTTTTTATTTATTATAACTTTTTACCAGGGATCTTGCTCCGACAACAAAAACTATATTGGAACTATATAGTGCTTTCTTGCAGCACTTTTTCGATCCAGTTGGTGCGTTGAGATTTGAAGAGGTTTTTTCTTTTTTTAATTTTCCTTCTAGTCTTCTTAATGGTTAAAAACTGGCAATTGTTTGTATAATTTTCGTTGGTTTTCGAGTCACCTTGGAAACAATGGGGAAAATACGGCAAGTCATACTCTGTTCAGAATCGTTTTTCGTCAGGAACGGATTGTTGTTGCGCATAAATATGAATTACGCGGAACTCTGGTACATTATACTGACGTGTCTTCCTATCCAACTCCTTTCGCTCCCGAAAACGGCGGGCACGTCCGTCGGGCATTTTTTTTTTTTTTTTTTTTTATATATTAACGTGTATACACATACGCATTATACGTACACGTTCGTGTACACTCACGTCGTAAGACATACGAATATACGAGTATGATTATACACTCGAACGCGGTATGCTGCTGTCGAACGTCTCTGTTTATAGCGAGCACGCGGCGAGCATGTTCAGCGCGGTAACGGTTTTTTTTTTTTTTACCGTATTAATTAACGTCGATTATAATAGCGCGGTTACTCCGGTGCCAATATCGTTCGGCGTACCATTAGAACGATTTTCACGGTATATTGCGCTCGTCTTTGCCAACAGAAGCTTAATGACAGTGTTGAACGCTATAATAAAACATCGAGATGCACTATCGCGCCGTATCTGCGGCCGATGGAAATATTATTATTCTCCGTTTGTGACGCATATCTGCGCGCGTATTAATATTATAACGCGCGTTTATCTCGCGTATCATCTGGGAACGCAAAAACAAACAGTTCGTTTAACGAATATTACGAACGCACAGTTTTTTTTTTTTTTTTTTTTTTAAACGTACGCGCAGTTATTAATTTTCGTTGGTATCGCCGAACATCACATTTCAGTAACATCGTATTATACACCCGTCCGGCCGTGGACAATCCGACGTCTTATAACAAGCGGTTACGGCGGCGTTTAACGAGTAAATACCAAAACGCGCGTGTATCGCCGCGGCTTAATTGAACGCCCGGTTGAAAATCGAGACGGGCGACGCGATACCCACCGATACACCGGGCACCCAAGACGGTGCCGAATGTCGAAATGTCGCGCGCGATTTTCGGTGTCGATTCCGGCGTTTCGCTACGTTTACAACGCGTAGGCGAAAACTCACGTCGCGGTCGTGTTGGTTATTACACGGACTGGTCCGCGTAAATTAGTATTTTCTTTTTTTTCATTTTACCGTGACGTTTTTACGTCTGAAATTCGAAATTGAGGCGTTTTCGCGACAACGGGTCCATCGATAACGATCAGCACGTTATTAATATTTTCGTTTTCAAAAACAATAAGGTGCCGAGAGTCGAACCCTGCGCGTTTCGTACCGTCCGTATTTATGGTGAAAAATACATACAATCGTTTTTATTGGCCGTTGAAGTTATTGAACGCATTCCCAATCACAATTAATGTATCGCAATAGCCTTCGGACGCAAAACCGAATTTCGGATCCAGATCCTGAAACGGTCGTCCGTCTCGTGCACCGACGACGTACCCGTTTCGGGTTTCGTGTGCTAGATTTCCGTTTGCTTTTTAGATTCCGGGCTCAGCGAAGCGCGTGTATCGGTGCTACTTTCTGTAAACGATCATTGTTATTAAATTTTTTTTTTTAATTGAAATTTGAATGATCGCTTCGCACGTTTTTATAATATATACTCAAAGGCCCGTCGGAAAACCGCGGAAAAGACCATATCGCATCCGCGCACGAAAGCCCCGCAATTTGTTTCGTGTAAACAATATTGCGGTATGCGCGTAGCTATGTCGACCGCGTACAATGCACAGGTACGCGTATACCGTCGTTACCGCGGTACCCGTACCTGCGTATACCGCGTATAGTTCTGCGTGTCGATCGGCGATAAAAGCCCGTCGTCATACGTGCGCTGTAGCGGAGGAGTGGTCCGCGACTTTGGACCGCGCGAGGGGAACACAGGCTCGAATATCCTCCCCTCCCACACACACACGCACATGCACACATGTTAAAATATATATATATATATATGTAATATATCGTTACACGAACTTATACTCGTACGTTATTATTTATATATATTATATATATTTAATAATAATATATAGCCTTAAACTACCTACGAATCGACCAATCGGATTACGCGGCCGGGTCAGCGGGACCACGCCCACCGGCTAGTTTTTTTTTTTTCTTCTTCTTCTTTACGAGGTGGTTTATCATTAATCGGCCGCGGGGTGACACCGCCGCAGCAGCAGCATCGGTTTATTATTATTATTATCATTATTATTATTATTATTACCGCGACCGACCGGTTGGTTATCGGCGGCCGCATAACCGGCACCGTATATATTATTATATTATTATCTTCGGTACGGTCCGGTACCGGTTCGGGTCGCGGAATTTCGCACCCATAGGCATAATAGACACATGCGCAAATATTATAATAACGACATGTAAGTACGTACATGTAGTTTACAAATAGAAAATGAAAAAAAAAAAAAAAACAATTTTAGAAAAAAGGACAAGTACCCTCAACTATTCGGACTCGCGAACGATTTTTCGCGAACTCTTTTATGACGTCTACGGTTTTTATTGCTCACGCGTTGCGAGCGAAAAAATTTGAACAATAATTTGCGATTATTCGATTAATAAAACACGGATTTATCGCACAGAGGCGGCAGATTATTCGCAAGTTAATGCGGAAAGCCGAATTAACCATGAACGAAAAAACGTTTTGGTTAAAAGTCCACCGCAGATGATAAACTGCACTCGGTCACGTTAAAACGCAACACAATTGTCGGTTTCACGATTTCTAGTGATGTATATTTTTATATAATATTTCGGCTCCGTCAAAAACTGGTATTAATGTCCGACATATCGTCAGCTAACCGACATTCAGCAAAACCCCGTAAGTCGAAATGTTGAATTTTTTGTTCGTTTTGTGTTACACGTTTTAATGTTATCATGTTTCGCGCCGTTTTCTTAAAAAAAAACACGCAAAAGCAACAACCGGCTCGTAATTTATCAATAAAGGCGAAACCTCGTAAACCGCGACATTATATTATCTCAATCCACATCGTATCCCAGCCGGTAAATTTGTAAGTCTGCACACAGTTTTTTGACGCTCCAGTAGAATTGGTCGAAATCGACATACGAGGTTACGCTGGACAGCTGATATAATTTCCATATGACGGCACCTAAACAGGAACACCGCGGATGAATGCCACCAGCATCCGACGAAACCGACGGTAAATTATCCGGTTTCACGGTATACTTCTCCATGTTTGCGATTTCCTATATCGATTGTAGACGTGAAAATTTTCCAGCATTTTTTCGTTATTGTTACAACGCCAAAAGGTTTTTACATGCTTCTTCGATCGGAATCTAAAACATTTAGATGAATTATTACGCTAATGTATACTGTATAGTATTATATACTGTTTGAATAAATCCTGATCCGTGTGCCGCGTATCCGCCTATTACTCCTACAAAACAAATTATATATATATATACGTATATTATAATATAGGTACCTCCTTATTTTATGGTCGGCGCGCGTGTCTTCCCTAAGGGTTTCTGTTTATTATAGTGGTTATGTTTTATATAATTGGTCGGTTCTTGATTTTTTTTTTTTTTTTCGTCTTATAGGAAATCGTATAATATTTACACCATATACGCAACAGTCCATTGTAATATATGGCAAGTATAATAATTATGCGATGGTTATTGTTTGAACAGGTACATGTAATACGACATTTTTGCAAACCTTATAGTCGTACATTATATATCATATTACTATGTGTAAAAGTGATTTTGAACGTTTGAACGTGTTGGATAACGGTCGCATCTTCATAAAATAATCCGGCAATAAAATTTCCGCCAACCCGTCGACGACGAGATATTCCATTATTAAGTTTAGATAGAGGGAAAATAAATGGCGGAGCTTCATTTGCGTGGTGTTTGAATAGGGCTCCACTACCCTCCCACCATTGCACAAACTTAACACTGATGCAGGTTGACGGGGTTGACGGGAATCAAAAATGTCAACACCGAAACGTATTAAAACCTAAACTTTATCTACTTGTAGAATTTCTAATGTAGGTTGACGTTTGGATATCAAAACTGTGGTAGTGATTTCGCTATCAATAATGATAAGGATTACAAGAAATAGCAGCAATGTAAAATTGCAGAGCTGGTTGTTTCATACATTTTCTACTGAATCTGGAAAATGTCAATACTTTCTGCGAGATAGTATTGTGCTCATGTTGATCAGCCTGTATGATAAATCACCGCGCGAACACGTATTTATTTATTTTCTGTTTTACTGTCGTGACGGCGATCGTTACTCTAGGCTTGATTCATCGCTGAGATCGTCATAAATGCGTGCCTTATACGTTTATCGAAATCACCCCCCCCCCCGGTTGTCTTGTCCACTCCTGCATTCTGTAACACGCTATCGTGTCTATGACTATCACTTTACCATGTATTATCACCATGGACGCTGTTTCTGTGTTATTTACTGTCGCGGTGTATAGTATTGCGACGCCGACTATTACGATACCTACGGTAACTATAAAAATAATAATCGCGTGGACCGGGCCTTACACATATACAGCTGTATAACGCGCAACAATATGTCCGTTATAACGATTGCGGCAAATATAATTATCAACGGTAATAATAATAATAATAAAGTGTCTAAAAAAAAAAAAAAAAAAAACACGAAGCCGAACGAATGCAAAAATCGTTTGCGGCGGAAATACCATTTATAGAATAGCGTAAATTATCGCGTCCCGGGAATATAGCCGCCGTCCATATTACACTCCTACACGTCGGCGTATAGGATGCACGGTAAGTACACCGTATCTTAATATCGGCAATAGTACTGGTAAAATGCGTGTCGGTAGTCTATCCGGATTTCGTACGGCTGTCCGGTCCGTAATAAACTCTTAATCGATCAGACGGATTGCCGGAAAATCGGTCATAATTATTACACAAAGGCGAAAAATATTATCGGTGCCCAATACCTTTAAAGTTTTTCCCCCGAAGTACTGTAGTACCGGACTATGGCGGTTGACAATCCAATAAAAATAAACGCTGCGTCTCGATATCAAAATAGACTTTTAACTTGACTGCCCATCTAGAGAAACGACTTTGCTACGTCCCCGAGACCGACTCGTGAACGATATAGTTATGAGTCGAGAAAAAATAAATCTACAAAAGCGTTTTTGTGTAAGTTTTACATTGTAGTCATCGATTTTTTCTCAAATTCTTCACGGTACACTCCAAAACTGCGCCACACCGTAACAATTTCCTAAAATATTATAACCGCGGCAGCCTTCACTATTTTTCTCTATCCCGTAAACGCCTTTTTTCCCCGCTTTCGCGTACACTCGACTCGCGTGTAAAACACGTCTGTTTTACCATCGCTCGCACATCGTTTGTCCTTTTCACAGCAGGCCTCAATATTCATCTCTCTGGGGTTTCGCTCGTTAATCGCATCTGTTATCTGTTATTATAAAGCGAAAAAGTTTAATTGACATATTGTACTCGTTTGCGAGAAAGACGTCACCGCCATCCATTGACACCGTTGCGGAAAATGTCCGAGGATTCGATTGCCGGTGCCCGCGCTACGGCCGTCGTGCAGTACGCGGGCGCCCACGCAGCCTCTCGCGCTCGCGGGAGACGGTGCTGTCGGACTCGCGTTTTATTTACAACGTGTTGATACTAATTTAACCGGTAATGATGTTGTCGTACGCCCACGAACAGCCGTCAGTTTTACCTGTTCGATATTATATTATGGGCATACACGCATTGTAAAATATATATTAATTTTAATGATCCGCATGGACCACCGGTTTTTTTTTTTTTATTTATATTTATTTCATCGTGTACCATACCCATATCGCTTATGGTAATCGTGTCACCACCGCCGCGATTCGTAACGCTTTTACATAGGTAGTAATACCATATTACCTTATATACGAAGTTGTATACAACAAGTGTGGTTTATTCGAATCAAAGCTGGGCAGTGACTATTGTAGTTAAAAAGTTAAAATTCGAAACTGAAATTGTTTTGAGTTACTGTTTTTAGATAACTTTTAACTTAATCAAAAAACGATTCTTAGCAGAGAATTATTATAATTTGTATTTTTTTCCTTGTTGCCTAGCAAACCCAGAAATCGACAAACAATTGTCAGTTTTTCCCATTTATTAAGAAAACTACATTACAAATTTAAAAAATGACCGCAATGCATCAATTAGCTTAAAAGTGTTATTACTACAAGAAAGTGCCACTAAAGTTTTTATGTGAAGAAATATTTCTGGTAGAAACGATGTTTACAGACACAATAAATACAAAATTAAATTTAAAAAACTCTTCATAGTAAAACCAATACATTCCACCAGAGTCTGAACAAAAATAAAATGTTAGAAAATAACTTATTTATTTTAATAAATAATTTTAACCTAACTTGGCTATTTTCTTGAAACCTAAGTTGTTCACGAATTTCTAGTGTAACGAATTGTGTACCTATGTTTTTTGCATTTATATTTAACGGAAATTATACATTTTTATATTAATATAATTTTATCTTTACACATATAGAAATACTGGTATTATGGGATACGCACGTCTCACACGAATGTTGCATAGTCAATAAAGAACAAAGGTACCTAATTAAACAAGAGGTAACTTTTAACTTACTTAAGAATAAGATCAATTTTTTGAAAATTGATAACTCATCTTAACTGATTATAATAATAATTTCCCACGTACGAAAGTGCAGGTATTATATATCAGCAGTATTAGATCTTTTTTTTTTTTTTAAGATCACTTAAATTAGTTAAACGAATTGGTTAACTTGTTCAGCTTTGACTGAACTAATAATCTCGCCTATCTCTGTATTTATTTTATTTTATCAACCTATACTCGGATGCGTTCGGTAATAGTAAAACTTTTTTTAGAAAAAGAGCAAGATAAAGAGAAAACAAATTACAGGTCATCGTTATCCCATCGGAAACGACTTATTTGTCCAATTATATTTAAACGGTACAACTACGTGCGTAGGAAAGCCAATAAAAGTCTTGGAAAGCCTAAATTATCACATTTGATTCTGAAAAATAGCGGGTTTCCAGTGTTATCCGACTTTATAGTAATGTACAAGCCTAATATAGCCGCGGCGAACGATCCGTCCACGTGGATTTATCTGTCGATTCTCGTTCCGCTCGCCCGAGCCACAAACTGTCCGCCCGGATCTCGACGACAATGCATAGCGCGCGTCCGCGGAATAGAGTGAAAGGATTAAAGGCGGACTGTTAAATTGAAACTGAATGATCGGCACTAATGAGACGAAAACCTTCTCCGCACAATAATAATAATATAATAAATGTATACCGTGTTGTACAGTAAACTCCCTGTCGTTTTCGTACACGCCCGCCAACGTTAGTTTCTCCGCGGGTGATGCGCGTGTATAAAAATCGAACAATTAAAAAAAAAAAAATTATACACTATCAATAGGCGTGCGCGTGTCTGCGGCCGCGGCTTCGATTATAATCGCCAAAACGGTACACTAATAAGGAAAATCGTATCTATACATAATACAATCAAATTTAATAACATAATGCCGTGCAGGCATAAATAGGTTCGAAGGTAATATACAATATTTGATCGTATAGCGATGGAAATAACATCGCCTATAATTCTTCCGTCGTCGTACAGAGGCCGTCCCCAGAAAAACACGCGTCTCAGGGCGAGCGGCTACGTATTTATACCTATTAAGTGTTTCCTAGTGGCGATGACAGGTGGTGTTTCGGTGTCTCGTCGTTTCTGGTACCTAAACATCATATTACTCGTATTATTATTATTATTATTATTATTATATTCCTTTCCACGGACGTCAACCGCGTTCATATAAAACGTTTCAATTTATCCGTCTCTTATATTTATGTGTGTATGTATATAAAATATCTTCTTATTGCCGCTGATGCTGCCGCAGCAACAGCAATGGTAGTCAGACAACACGATATTATTGTTATAAACGACAGACGGTCATGATTATCGTGCAGTTCGAAATTTCGGGGAGTCTGTGATGCGGCATTCAGATCGAAATATTTATCGAAGAAGAAAAAAAAAAATGATACTTTCAAAATTATATACTTACTATCTGGCTACCGTACTGTTGTAAATAGAAATAAACCTCGACGACATTCCGTAATTTATTGATACGAATACACAATTGAGCAGTGAAGAGTTAATATTATAACGTCATCACTCATCAGGC